CTTTCCAAATTTTAGAAGGAGGCAAACAAATTTTTAATGGGGTCAAAAGTAGAGATCAGGTATGAATTACAGATCTATCACAGTAGCTATGTGTTCTTGGGCAAGTAACAATCTAATGATCAGTTTCATTGTAGATAAAATGGGGATGGTAACAATAAAAACTACTATTTTTGAATTGAGGTAATCCTTTATATAAGTGCACTTAGTACACTACTTGGAAAGTGCCATGGAAAGCAGTTAACAGATGTTAATATAGTAACATTAAACACTCTCCACTAATTGTTTCATGTTGCTGTTCTCATTTCTCATTACTTGACACCCCAGCTTTTTTATACCAGTCAAGCAAATACATTTACACACATAGATACACACACATTTCATTTGACTACTACATTCTTCACTTGTGGAACAACCCCTTTCTACCTTAGTCAAAGGAAAAAATGTTCAATGTTCATTTATTTCAGGGATAATGAAACTTGTATTATTTCCACCAAATGCCAGTCTCCCTATAAAATCTCCCCACTTCCGGGGGCACCTGAGTGGTTCTGGGGGCATCCGACTTCAGCTCAGGTCATGATCTCATGGTTTGTGAGTTCAAGCCCCACTTCGGGCTCTACAGTGACTGCGGAGCCTGCTTGGGATTCTCTTTGTCTCTCTGTCTCTCTCTCTCTCTGCCCCGTCCCACTCTAACTCTCTCAAAATAAATAAATAAACCTAAAAAAATATTTTTTAAAAATCTCCCCTGTTCTGTTTTAAAAATTCTATCCACAACCTGTAATGTTACCTACATATCAGTGAGCACGGCCCAGTGCTCCCTTCTACCCAGAACATTCTACCCGAGGTGACTGTCTCCTCTGTTTCCTTCAGAGTTCTGCACAAATGTCACCCTTATCAGGAAGGCCCTCTCTGTCGAGTGAAATGACAATTCCTCCCTTTGATGCCAGAACTCCCTCTCTCCTTCCCTGCTTAATTTTTACCATAGCACTTAACCCTACTCGACGTATTATTTGTTCATTTCTCTGCGTCTATTCACCAGAATATAAGTTCCAAGGGAGCATAAGGAAGGGGACTGTCTGCTTTGTTCCCTGTGGTAGTTTCTGCGCCGAGCAGGTGCTCAACAAGTAAATAATAGTAGAATAAATATTAAATGGGTATCACCTGTGATCTGCAACTGTCAAGAACACTGGCTTTGTTTGGTGCTTATTCCTTTCAACCCCTTTGGAGCTTCTGCAAAGAGCATTTGGTTTGAACAGCCTCTGCTTTCTAGTCCCTACAAACTAGTAACCTCAAATTCACAGTCAAAGGCCACCTTTGGCCCACGGGCGTATTTGGATTGGCTTATACAACACGTATAAAATTATCGAATTAGATGCCAGCCATTAAAATGGATAAATTAGGGGCGCCTGGGTGGTTCAGTCGGTTAAGCGTCCGACTCTTGGTTTCAACTCAGGTTATGATCTCACAGTTTGTGGGTTCAAGTCCCACATCAGGCTCTGTGATGACGGCGTGGTAGAGTCTGCTTGGGATTCTGTCTCCTTCTCTCTCTGCCTTTCCCCTGCTCTCTCTCTCTCTTTCAGATAAACATTTTTATGCACAAATTAGTATACAGTCCTGGACTTCTAGATCATCTTGGTCAGATTTTTCACAGAGAGACAATATTTCAGCAAGGCAACAACCAGCTGAGCTAAAAAAAAAACAAAAAAAACCCAAAAGAACAAAAAAACAACCTGTCTAGCTTGCCACTGTCCGCACCAGTGCATATGACTTACTGACTTTATTTACATATCTGCAGGTATTTGAGTTGGAGAGCCCTGACCTAAATCCCCTTTCCTTCCCATTGTTACTTCAGAATCCACTTCCTTTTTGCCTAAACTACTATACCAATCTAATAAATGTCCTTGTTTCCACGTTATCCCTCAGTTTCTTATCACCTCTCTGCTCAAAAACTTATGCTGTTTTTATTTCTCATACTCTATGGTTCACGTAATTCTTGCATTCTAGGCCCTCCTCATCTGGCCTTCTCCAGGAAATCTTTTCCAGTTTTATACTCTACAATTCCCCATCAGCCCATCTTTCATGAATTACACCCATACTCTTCCTTTCTGTTCCAGCTCTAAGCCTATGCTCAAATTTTCTTTAACTGGAATCCTGCCTCCACTCCCCTTAGTCTATCTATTTTTCAAGGCCCAGGCACTCTCTATAAGGCATTCCCAAGTCCCATTGCCACACACAACCCCCCTATATCCTGTCTGCCTACTCTGGACTTTCTAGATTGTCCATAGTTTAACTGTTTCATTATATGTATCTTTTTAATTTTTTTAATCTTTATTTTTGAGACAGAGAGAGACAGAACACCATGGTCAGAGAGCGGGAGACACAGAATCCCAAGCAGGCTCCAGGTTCTGAGCTGTCAGCACAGAGCCTAACAATGGGGCTTGAACTCACCAACCTCAAGATCATGACCTGAGCAAAAGTCAGACTCTTAACTGACTGAGCCACCCAGGCGAACCATACATATATTTCTTAAGCTTATTTATTTTAGTAATCTCTACACCCAAGAGGGTCTCAAAATCAGGGCCCCTAAGATCAAGAGTCATTTGCTCCTCAAGACTGAACAGCCAGGCGCCCCCACATTTTCTATATATTTTGTTACAACTTTTCGATTATGTACTTGAATAAGCAATTAATATTATGTTACCCTGGGACATACATAGGACAACATTGTCCTCAATGGAGTGCCAGTTGGCTTGGGGGAGAGGTGGCAGGAAAGTCTTAGATAATTAAAAAGGTTTCTGGCCCCCAAAGGATCATAGTACATAAGCAAATATACAGTATATCAGTGGTATTAAAATTTCATGGGTGGGATTAGAGGGGGGAAATACCTTTTTAAGGCTCCCGGGGAGAGAGAGATGACATTGAAAAACAGTACCCACGGATCATTCCATTTGTTTCTTTTTTTTTTTTAAATAGTTTATTGTTAAATTAGTTTCCACATAACACTCAGTGCTCATCCCCACAAGTGTCCTCCTCCATGCCCATCTCCCCCCTCCCCCCCCCATCCATCAGTCCTCAGTTTTTGTCAGCATTCAAGAGTCTCTCATGGTTTGCCTCTCTCCCTTTCCCCCACCATTTCCGCCCTTCTTCTCCCCCTTGTTCCTCCGTCAAGTTCCTCCTAATCCTCCTATACGTGCAGACATATGATATTTGTCCTTCTCTGCCTGACTTATTTCGCTCAGCATAACACCCTCAAGGTCCATCCATGTTGCTACACATGGCCAGATTTCATTCTTTCTCATTGCCTGGGGTACATGTGCTCCTATGCCTCAGCATTTCTGTGTCCCTTGGGTAAATTCCTAGCAGTGCTATTGCTGGGTCATAGGGGAGTTCTATTGTTAGTTTCCTGAGGAACCTCCACACTGTTTTCCAGAGGGGCTGTACCAGTTTACATTCCCACCAACAGTGCAGGAGGGTGCCCGTTTCTCCACATCCTCGCCAGCATCTAAAGTTCTCTGATTTGTTCATTTTAGCCACTCTGACTGGCGTGAGGTGGTATCTCAGTGTGGTTTTGATTTGTATTTCCCTGATGAGGAGGGATGCTGAGCATCGTTTCATGTGTCTGTTGGCCATCTGGATGTCCTCTTTGGAGAAGTGTCTGTTCATCATTCCATTTGTTTCTTGTGCATTTGACTGCTCCTTGACTACCTTGCGCATGGAACTGTATGATGAAAAGTCAAGCATGGTGGTCAGAGGTGCAGGCACTGGAATGGGACTGTCTGGATTTGCGGACTGCGTGGCTGATATTTCTCGAATGGATAACACCTAGCAAGTTACTTAACCTCTCTAGACCTCACGTTCCTCATCTGTAACATTAATACCTTCCTCCTGGGGTGGTAGTATAGGTGAGGTCATACAGAGGAGCACATAGTCAACGTTTAGTCAATGTTTCTAGAACCTGCAAGTACACTAGGTGCTTAGCACAAACGACTGATGAACTAGTTGGTCTTAGTAACAGTCTAGAGGTGACTGGAACCTCCTAGCCGCTCAGGTGGGAGTTGCATGCAGCTCTGTAAGAACTCTTTACACCTAGGGTCCCTTACCTATAAAACGCAGCTGGTTATCTATAAAACCTACTTCTTGGGGATTTGGGAGTAATCAATTCACGCAGTGTGCTTAGCATGGTGCTCCCAGTGTTAGCTGGTATTAGTCCTACTTGGGGCACCCGGCTGGCTCAGCAGGTAGATCATGCAACCCTTGATCTCAGGGTCGGGACTTTGAACCCCACGCTGGACAGTGGAGCCTACTTTCTATATGACATATGTATGTATACGCCCTGCGACCAGCCAAGCTGCTAGCGACATCGGACGGGACAGCAGGACATAGGTGGTCGCTCAGAAAAAAATCAGGCCCTGTCAGAAGATTCAAGCGGAGCACTTAGGGCCTGATTCACTTGCCCAGGATGGCTCCGTGCAAGGGGCCTTCTGCTCCCCCAAAGGCGCCCTCTACGCAGGGACCCTGCGCACCAGGCGTGCAATAGCGCGCCGGAAGGCAGGCGTGTAACCGGGACGACGCCGGTCAAGGCTTCTGGATGAGGGTCAAGAAGCGTGGAGGCGGAGCCTGCACACCAGTTTAGGCTGTGTGTGGGTAAGGGGAGCTCAGGGAAGGGTGTGGGAGCAGGCGGCCGTGACCGAGACAGAGCGTCTCCCAGGATCCGTGAGAGGCCGGGACCTCGGCGTTATCGTCCTACAAAAAACCGTACCGACCCCATAGCCACGGGACAGGGCCGCCATGGCGATTCCCTAAGACGCATGCGCGTTTCTTTTCGCGCCCCAGACGCTTGACCGTGCGCACTGCGCTCCCGCCTTCCGTGGAATTCTCTACCCACAACTCCCCAGGCTCGCGCGCTGTCTCCATATGCGCGTGCGGTCGTCATAGCCCCGCCCCCAAATCCCGTGGGCCTCTGCGAGGTAGTATTTAAGCATCTCGCTGCGTCTTTTCTGCCTCGTTTATTTTCCACGATGCGTGGTGAGTACGTCTTTCATTTTGCTTTTTTAGTGGTCAGGTGAGGAAAAAAATAGAAAGTGAGCGTGGTTTGCTTGAGCACGTTGCTCAATGTGCTCAATGTGCTTGAGCACATTGCATTTATTATTGGTCGGTGGGGGAGGGGTAAGAGCTCGGCCATGGCCTTGAGTCCACGAGGCATCTGCAGAGCTTTGTGAAGGACAAAATGGCGATGGCGGGCCGTGCCGGCGGCCGTCTCTGTGATGAGAACGTTTTCACAGACCTGTACTGAGCTCCGTGAGGATAAGAGACTCTGAAGAGACGGGCCTTGCACTGCCGAAGTGCGACACGGCCGTGGCCCCGGGAGACAAAGCGCTTGTGAAATAGCCAGTGTTGAGTTAATGTTCTCTTTGTCTGCAGGGTTCAGGCGCACGTTTGAACGCTCAAGAATGGAAGAGAGCCGCCCTGTTGGAGTAAGTGTGTGGGGCCCTCCTTTACCCTCGCTCCTCTCTTGTCGACTGTGCGGGGGCCACTGTGGGATGTGCTACGGGGATGATACTAGGAATTGAACTCTCTCTTTCTGATGGAGTAGTGGAGAAAGCTTAAGTGTACTGAGTAGCACCAGCCCGCGGCAAACGGTGGGTTGTTTAGCGCAGACGCATGAAGATCCATTCATTGCAAAATCTGAAACTAAGTGAGGGATGCTTCCTCCCCCCTTCTTCCAGATGTGGTTCAACTCCAAAGACCTTAGAGGTTGGGACAAAACCTGTTCCTGCAAACTAAGCATTCCAGTGATGCTCCAGGTGGGTACTGTGTCTAGATGGGGTTTGCTCAGATTATGCAGACCACTCTGTGATGAACATAAAAAAGACAAGCATATGGCTGATCTTAAAAGTGATGCCATCTTCCTACTGAGAAGTGGGCCACAAGTATTGAAGGGTCTGTGGATAACTATTTTTAGGTACATATAATGTCATCCTTTTCTGTTTCCAGCATCTCCTCTCCAAGCCTGAGGAATCCAACTGTCTCCAAGAGTGAATTCAGGTAATTACCATTGAAAGGGAGGAGTGGAGGGTCCCCTCCAGTTTTGCCTACATCCAGGAGAGTAAAGTGAGCAGTGTGACCTTTCTGCTCCTTGCAGCCACTTCCATTTGGGATGACTCCTGTGGAGGGAAGAGCAGCCCAACAGTACATTTCTTGAGATGGTGTGCTCTCCCTCACCCATGTGTCACTGTCAGATGATTTGAATAGATTTGCTGATCCTCTGTGAGGTGCAACAATTAATAGCATGTTAGAGTTCTGATGGCAGTTTCTGTCAATGAAAAGACTTTGTTCTAGCCTGATATTTTTTGATAACCATTTGGTCCCCTTTTGCAGGTTGTCCTGATGGTGGTGATATGTTCATCTATCTTATGGTAAGTAGCTTCTCCCAGTACTGTGATTTGTTAGCATATATGTGGACCCGTTATCCAAAGGGTGATTTGTTTTTCATCGTGTGTATTTTTTTGTTTTGTTGTCGTCGTGACCAAAGACTTGATCCACCCATATAGCTTTCTGGTTTTTTCCTTGTAGTGATGTTTCTTAATCTATTTCTCTAGATGCCCACTGGTGTGCTCAGGATCGAACTCCTGGAAAGAGTTAAAGATGGTGAGTACTTGTAACCCTTCTGATTGTAGCTTGCCTCAGAAGTATACTGCCAATGAAGAGAGCAAGCATCCTGTCTTACCCCTGTTCTAGCCCCAGAGCCAGTAATGGTGAACCCACTGGGGCTAACTGGGAGAGAGGATGAGAATTTGTTCCATAAGGAACTGTCTGAGGTGTGGCACATGCTGGTCAATAGCATTTGCTTGGCTTATCTTCTCTTAAACCCATCAGTTACAGCTAAAATAGCTTTGGCTGTTTAGATAGTTGGCTAATTATGTGATTTTCTTCAGGAGCAGCTTCCTCGCGTGTGTTACCAAAAAGCTTCCAGAGTTATCAGGTTAGTTAATTAATCTCTGGTTCATGCCACCAAATAGGCAAGTTTCCATGATGAATCAAACTAGCTCACTATGACTCCACGATGAAAACATGTGAACACCTGAGAAACTGGAGAAAGCAGGAAAGGGGGGATGCCGCGTGGAAGGGCTTTTTATCACCCACAGCTTTTTCTTTCTCTAGGTGCGGTTGCCCGTAATGTGCATATTTTCTCAGGTGAGTAGTTTCCATATGTGGTACCTGGAGCATATTGGGTACAAAGGAGACACCCTTAGGGGCCTAAGCTCATGATGACTTACATGGAATCTCGTTCGGCTGATAACTTGCTGTTGAGACTCGGAAATCTGATTTTCCTAGAAATGATGGTTTAAGGGGGAACAATTTATTGCTGGAGGTAAGCATTACTGACTCAAGTCCTTGTTTGTTTCAGGTTCATCACCTGGTCTGCAGCCCAAGAATGATTTGAGGTAAACGCCTTTGTAATGCTGTCATTTATAGCTGTTACATAAAATTTGCCAGGTGTATTTGGTGGTGGGGGGGGGACACTTTGGGTAACTATTTTAAGAAATTACTGGCTTAATCCAAAGTCTTGTATGTGGACACTGAACCATCTGTGACAAGCTCCCACTCACCAGTGATGAGTTCAATACCGCCCCAGTCTGAACACTGTGACTGAAAGGTATTTTCTGAGCTGTGAGCTTCTCTTGGATTGAAAAGTGAGAAGTTAGCTGGTGGTTTCTATCTAATCTGTGTGCAGAACCTACATTAGAGCTGTGCCTTTCTAAGCAATAGAGACCCAGGGGTATGATTGGGAGGCTTATAGTTCCCAATCATTGTTTTACAGGTTCCCTCAGCTACTTCTGTGCTCAGCTCCCGTCCAAAGTCAGGTGAGTAAACCTAGATACAAGATGATGCATATTAAAACTTCCCAATGAAGAAACAGTCACATGTCTTACCTCCTGTCCTAGTCCCAGAGCCTGTAAAGGTGAACCCACTGAGGCTGGCTGGGGGAAAGGAGGAAGCTTGTTCCAGAAGGAACTGTCTGAGGGATTACAAGAGATTTCTAAATATGGGAAAGGGAGAGAGAAGTCTCTTTGCTGAAGTAGAATGTACATTTTTTTTCCCAGGTTTGAAGGAGGAACAAGGTACATGTAATAGGTAAGTATTCAAATATTGGTGTTCATTTCATTTCATTTATTTTTAGAATTTTTTTTTTTTAGGGGCACCTGGGTGGCTCAGTCGGTTAAGCGTCCGACTTCGGCACAGGTCATGATTTCACAGTTCGTGAGTTCAAGCCCCACGTTGGGCTCTGTGCTGACAGCTCAGAGCCTGGAGCCTGTTTCAGAGTCTGTGACTCCCTCTCTCTCTGACCCTCCCCTGTTCATGCTGTCTCTCTCTCTCAGAAATAAATAAAAAATATTTTTTAAAAAATAGAATTTTTTTTTTTTTTTAATTTTTTCAATGTTTTGTTTCTGAGAGAGAGAGAGAGACAGCATGAGCAGGGAAGGGCCAGAGAGGGAGACTCAGAATCCAAAGCAGCCTCCAGGCTCTGAGCTAGCTGTCAGCACAGAGCCCGACACAGGGCTTGAACCCATGAACCATGAGATCATGACCTGAGCCTAAGTCGGACATTCAACCTGCTGAGCCACCCCAGCGCCCATGGAATGTGTTTTTGAGAGATAGCATGAGCAGGGCAGGGGCAAAGAAAGAGGGAGACACAGAATCTGAAAGTTTCAGGCTCTGAGCTGTCAGCATGGCCTGACACAGGAGCACCAACTCAACCATGAAATCATGAGCCTAAAGGTGGGTGTTCAACTGACTAAGCCACCCAGGTGCCCTGGTGTTTAGTATTTAATAGACTAACAGAAAAACAAAAGCATGCCTGAAACCAGGTATACTAATTTATTTTTTATTGAGTGGGGACTGGGGCAGAGGGAAAAAATCTAAAACAGGCTCCATGCCGAGTGTAGATCCCACATGGAGCTTCCTGAGATGGTGACCCAAGCCTAAATCAATCACGGTCAAGAAGCACCTGAGCTGTCCAGGCACCCTAGTGTGAACTAGTTTATATCTACTAAGAAAATGCACTTTGTTTTTCCGTACAGGAGTCCAGTTCTTCAAGAATATCAAAAGGGAATTGTCAAGTCCTGTTTTTGTACAACCTAGTTGTTGTAATTAACATAATTGTTTAAGCTTTTCTAAATAAAAGTTTAGCCTTCATTGTGGTTTGTGCCTCTAGCTGGACAGAAGGAAGTGGTCCTGGGGAATTTGCTGCTGTTGGCACTGTTCAATTTAATGTGGCACTGTGCCTGTTGCTGTCTAGCTCAGGGAAGCATTGTTCAGGGAGCCTTCTAAGGTCTTCCTGACCCCAGTATATGCCTCACTGCATGCAGAGTTTCCTGGCTTTAGGTGATTCATTAGCGTTGCCTTAATTTTGACGGGCTTGGCTCATAAGGCACAAGGAGCCAATAAGGCGTAGCCACCACTGGGTCTATATTCTTCCCTTTTTTCTGGAATTGTCCTGGTTCTTCTAGGTAATACAGGGTCCCGCTCAAAAGTCCCTGCTAGGGGGTATCTGGCTGGCTCAGAGCATGCAACTCTTGATCTCGGTGTCCTGAGTTTGAACCCCATGTTGGGCATGGAGCCTACTTGTAATTTTTTTTTTAATTGTTAATGTTTATTTTTGAGACAGGGAGACAGAATCCCAAGCAGACCTCATGCTGTCAGCACAGAGCCCAACTGAAGACTTGAACTCCAAACTTGAGATGGTGTGAGCTGGAATCCAGGGTCAAATGCTTAATGGACTGAGCCAACCAGGCACCTCTAAAAACTTGAGTCCATGCCAAAAGGCCTGCCCTCGCCAGCCATTGTCAATTTATGCTGCTGGTATAAATATAACTTGATTGGGATAATCCTGTTTGTGTGTGTTGTCTTCCATTTGCTCTTTCCGTGGGAAACCAGACCTGTTCACTTGGGACATCTGGTAGGGGTGCCCAGTAAACCCCTCCCTGAATTGGGATCGAACATCCATCTTGCCATCTACCTGTGCCATCGTATCTGAGCATAAATTTGGGGGTGGAGTTATAATATGTGAATGGGCACATGGAAATCTACAATCTCCCTCAGATGGGTTGTCTCCTCACATACCTGATGTTTTCAAATCTGCATTTCAATTGGCCTTGGGCAAGCTGGCTCTATGGACAACAGTAAAGGAAGCCCGCAGACCTGTAGCACTTCTGGGGGACGGGTGTTTACGTGTATGTGAGTGGGAAGCTTACTGCACTGAGGCGCCCCAGGTCAAGGATTCTTCATCTTTAGAGCAGTTAGTTTCCCGCACATGGAGGCTCAAATCTGTGTGCTTAACATGCACGCTCCCTCCCCCCCCCATCCTTTGGGCAATTCTGGTTGACATCAGTAGTTCTCAGCTAATAAACACCCTTCTGTTGCTCAAAATGGGAGAATGGGTACTGAAGGGTGAATAAGGGGTTCCCCTTTCCTGCAATTTTCGCCTGCATGTTGTGTCAGCTGTGAGGCAACTTCATTGAAACAATGTTTATTTTTTGCTCATCAAATAGTGATCATAGAAATCTGAGAGCTGTCAATACAGTGATTATAACTATGGAAGAGGGTTGCATAAGACCATGCAAGGGTCAGCTTTAAAGCTGGTGGGGGAAAAAATCAAGCTGGGAGCAACATGGGAAGCCCCAGTGAGCTAGGGCACAAGCAGTAAAACGCCAGATCAATGGTGTCAAAGCCACTAAGAGGTCAGGTGGACCTGAGACAAAGCTGCAAGCAAATGTTGAGCTTTTACTACAGACGAGCCGCTATGTGCATGACCTCTCACCCCACTACTTAGCATGGGAGGTCTGTGCCAGAAAGATCTTTGCATAAAGGGGAACCAGCAAAGAAAACTTGTCCCCCCCCCCCCAAATCGTCACAGTACCAGGGGAGGAGGGGGTCATTAGTCAAAGTCCTAGGTACTTAGCCATCAGGCTGGGCTGGCTGCCTCTAGGAGTCTGGAGGCCACTTGACTCCAAAACAGCCTAGGGACGTTTAGCAAGGACACGATGGAACCAAAGTTGGATCCAGGCTGGTACAGGGGCCAGGGGTATTCAGGGTATTCACTGGAAGTCTGGTTGACAATGAAACCTTCCAGGAATCCTATTTTCGCCATTTGGCAAATGAATTCAAATTAAGACCCAAACCTGGCTACTTTAGCTAAAGGATGAAAGAAGTAACAGATGACATGGAGGAATGAGGGAAAGTGGTGGAATGATTGAGGCGTGGCTCCTGGAGTTCCTGATGCCTCAGACAGCCTCTCCTCTGAGTATGTCCATCACCCTTGACCTGCTCGCCTGATAATCTAAGTGGACATTGAGTCCCTTGATTGCCCTGTCCTGCCCAGATCTACGTTCTCCCCTCCCCACACCCCCCATCTCCCCACCTCCATGAATGGTCACAGCACAGAATTCAGACCTGTGAGGCACCCCCACTTGATGTGACCTCGTTAAGTGACCTCGTTAGATGTTTGGACACCTTCAGTCAAGTTCTGTCTCTTTAAAAAAGTGTGGTTGTTAAAATAAATAAATAAATAGTGGTTAATTTGTAATGAATTAACAATTTGTAGTGAATTAATGAATGGGCTTAGGGAGCTCTAAGAATCCTCCTTGTATGCAAAATGTATGATCAGCTGCTCTGTCCCAAACCTAACAGTTCTGATCAAAAGAGCCATGGCCTTGCTCTTGCCTTTGTTGATTGCTGTTCAGTTACATCTTAGAAGAGGGAAAGAAAAATAGGACAGCCAATACATAAGATAGTTTGAAATAACACTGGGTTTTTTTTTTTAATTTTTAAATATTTTATTTATTTTTGAGAGAGCGTGAGCAGGGCAGGGTCAGAGAGAGAGGAAGACACAGACTCCAAAGACAGGCTCCAGGGTCTGTGCTAGCTGTCAGCACAGAGCCCGACGCAGGGCTTGAACCCATGAACTGTGAAATCATGACCTGAGCTGCAGTCGGATGCTTAACCAACTGAGCCACACAGGCACCCCAAGAAATAACACAGTGGTTTTCAACCAGCAGTGACTTTCCCCCCCAGAGATCATTTAGCAGTCCCTGGAAACGTTTTTGGTTACAATTTTGGGGGTGCTTATGCTGCTGGCATCCAGTGGGAAGACCCTACGATGCACAGGACAGCTCCCTCCACCTCTCTCCAATGAATCGTTCAGCCCAAAATGTCAATAGTTCTAAGTTGAAGACACCCTGAGATCTATGAGAAATGCCAGTATAGAACAAGAATTGATAAGAAGGTGGTCAGGGAAAGCATCTCTGAGGAGGTGACATTTGAGCTAAGATGAGGAGACCTGGAGGCTGAGGAAGAGCCGATGGGATGAAATGGGAGTCAATCATATTTTGGAGTAGACACAACAGGGTGAGCGGATGGAGGGGATGTGGGGGTTAGTGAAGGGGAGATAAAGAACATTCCAGTGGGTGCAGTAGGGAATCATATTGGATGGTGTGAGTCTGAAATGCCTCCCCGACAGCCAAGGAGTCAAGAAGAGGCAGTGTGGCATGGGGTTGCCTGAGTCCCCACTTACTAGCTGTGTGACCTTGAGAATATCACCTAACCTGCTGCGGTTCAGTCTCTCCATCTGTAAAAGAGGGAACATGCTAGTAACCACTTCTGCCTTAAGATTGTTACTACATATAAAGCACTTGGAATGCTGCCTGGCGCCAGTGACCAGCCGGTCAGGCTGGGGACAGGGAATCCGTTGTCACCATGGCATCGGAATCCCAGGTACCAGATGAGAGCCTTTCAGTAGAAAGTGTGAATTGGAATTTCTAGAGAGTCGGGGGCTCACACAAATTAGCAAAGAGGGTGGAAGTAGTGGCCAAGAAGAGAGCTAGTGCTTCTTTTCCAGGGGTTGCCCAAATCTACCCCCCCCCCCCGCCGAGTCGCCACAGGAAAGGGGCTCGGGGGAGCCAGCCTGAGTCCTGGAGACAGTGCTCTCTCGGACAACCCTGCCACAGGCCTGCTCACAGGGCCTCGGGGACCTTCCCCATCTGTGCCTCCATTTATTTTGTTTAATGCTTATTTATTTATTTGGGGGGAGGTGCAGAGAGAGAGAATCCCAAGCAGGCTCTGCACTGTCAGCATAGAGCCTGATGCGTGGCTCGAACTCGGGACCCTGTGAGATTATGACCTCAGCTGAAATCAAGAGTCAACCCTCAACTGACTGAGCCACCCAGGCGCCCCTGTACCTTCACTTGATACGACCTCCTTAGGTGTTTGGACACCTTCAGTCAGGTTCTCCTGTCTCTTTAGGACTGTGATTATTAATTTGGAGGCTAATAAATGGGCTTAGGGAGTCTAAGAATTTCCCCCTGGAGACTGTACGCAAGACGTGTATAAGGCAACTCATTAGAGGAAAGCTTCAACAGATTCTCAGAACGGTTGGGAGATGCAGTAAAATTTTAAAAAACTCTTCAAGTTGACTAGGGTGTTCTTTGACATGCTCCACATTGTGCTGATTTTTAAGTTTGTACCATTTCTTAAGAACACATACACATGCAGGGGCGCCTGGGTGGCTCAGTTGGTTAAGCGTCTGACTTTGGCTCAGGTCATGATCTCACTGTTGATGGGTTCGAGCCTCGTGTCGGGCTCTGTGCTGACAGCCAGCTCAGAGCCTGGATCCTGCTTCGGATTCTGTGTCTCCCTCTCTCTCTGACCCTCCCCTGCTCACGCTGTCTCTCTCTCTCAGAAATAAATAAATCATTAAAAAATTAAAAAAAAAAGAACACACATGCAAAAATAGAAAGTCTAAAATTGTTTAATCAATTTATAAATATCAAGGAAAGTGCCATTAAATTTTTTTAAGGTTTATTCATTTTTCAGAGACAGAGACAGAATGGGGGTCGGGGGAGGGCAGAGAGAGGGAGACACAGAATCCAAAGCAGGCTCCAGGCTCTGAGCTGTCAGCACAGAGCCCCACGCAGGGCTTGAACTCAGACTGTGGGATCATGACCTGAGCTGAAGTCAGACACCTAACCGACTGAGCCACGCAGGGGCCCCTAAAGAAATTTTAAGACTGGGGCCCCTGGCTGGCTCATATGCAACTCTCACACCCAGGGTTGTAAGTTCAAAGGGCCATGTTGGACATAGAGTTTATTTTTTTTTAATCTTTTAAAAAATTTTTTTAAGAGTTAAAAGGGGGATGTAAAATGGGAGGATGTTATAAGCCTTTGAACATTATCTGACAATGTGTAATATAACAGTTTTGTGAAAACATCAAATTTAAAATGTATGCACAGGGAAAGAATACTCTTCCCTTGACCTCACTCTGCCTGTCTTCAAAGTCAGTGATTCTCTGTGGACCCTTCCACTTCCCTCCACCTCTGCCGTGGCAGCCACCAGTGCCCAAACCCCCTCTAGCTCTTGCCTGAAGGATCGCAGAGAGCCTTCTTCCAGTTTTCCCCAGTAGACTATGAATTCATGAAGCCAAGGGCCATCTCTGATTCTATCATTGTAGATTGAGTGCTCAATAAACATAAACAAATGGACACATGGCCTCCCAGGAGCAAAGGTAAGTCCAAGTTCTTATGGCGCCTGCAGTGTCCGTCTCCCGCGCTTGTATTGAAGAGGCAGGGTTAACAGTGGGCTGAGGGTGAAGGAGCCACGCCCCACTTGCCTTGGCTTCAGAGGAGAACAGGGCTGCTGCTGACTGCAGACCCGCCTGAGGAATCACCCCTGCCACCAGATTGTTCTGGGGCACTTGGTTGCAGCCTCGGCAGAAGGCGCCACCTGCTCAGCTATGGGGCTGTGCCTGCCCAAGGTTGGGTCTGGCAGAATTTGGAGAAGGTTCAGATCGAAAGAAAGTGAATTCTGCTTTTGCCCCTGTATTCGTTTTTATTGCTGTTGAACCCAATGACCACAAACTCAGTGGCTTAAAACAAAACATCTTATTATCTTATGGTCCTGCAGGCCAAATGTCTGAAGCAGGTCTCACTGTGCTAAAATCAAGCTGGGTCCACAGGGCTGCGTTCTGTTCTGGAGGCTCAAAGAATCTGTTTCCTTGCCTTTTCCAGCTTCTAGAGGCCACCCACACCCATCTGATGACCCCCTTCCATCTTCAAAGCTAGGAAGGGTTCATCCATCTCTCACATGCTCCATCACTCTGACGCTAGCTCCTCCTCCCTCTGTCCCTTGATAAGGACCTTTGTGATTAGACACCCACTAGATAATCCCAGATAACCTCTCCTTCCCCAAACCCTTAATTTAACCATATCTGCGAAGTACCTTTTGCCATGTAAGGCAACACATTGAGAAGTTCTGAGAAGTAGCACAGGAGTACCTTTATTGGGGGCAGTATTCTGCTGGCCACACCCCCTTACTTCAGTCCTCCCTGGAGGCTCTGGATTTACATACGGGGACCGGTAGAAACTGCTTGTCTATTAACATCAGGGACACAATGCTGAGAACCTTATTCTTTAAAATCATAGATTATGGAAATTTTGCTAGTTGAAAGCCTGTCAGTGGGAACAGAAGGTCCCGCCCGGTCATTTTGACACAGCGACACGGCCTCTATTTCCAGCCCGGGAGTAGAGCTTCAGTGAAGGAGGTTTCGAACAGAATATTCCACATTTATATTAATGTAGTTTCCAAGGAAACGGGACTCAAGTCCTTTTTCAGCTCAGGCCTGATCATCAATTCTTTTCATACGGCCGGAGTTCGCTTTGAGCCTACAAAAGAACTGCTTCATTTACATTTTAGATACACTGGCCTCAGTCTCTCTCTGTCACCCGAGTTTAGGAATCGGAACCCTCGAAAACGCCCTTCTGTGTGAAGGGCGCACGGTGGGTGACGGACGGCGCGAACGGCAAGATGTAGGTGGGTTGGGGATGGATGGTACAGTCGAGGAGGCGCGGCAGGGAGCGGAGCCCCGGGATGCGAGGGGAACCCCGGGATGCGAGGGGAACACAGCCCTAAAGACCACCCTGAGACTTCTGGGCCGGGCGCACAGAGTGTGCCGGTTCTCACCACCGCCGCATAAGCTCATTAGTCCCCAGTTAACAGAAAAGGAGACTCCAAGCAACTGGCCTCAAGTCATCAAGTCGGGAACTGGCGAGCAGGGATCCCAATCCAGTTCTTCGGACTCCAAAGCCTGTGCTTGGGATCCGCAGCACGTCCCGGGGGGAGGGGCGCCACCACCCTACCGCACTACCTCCCACCCACTAACCGAGACCGCCTTCCGGCGGGTAAAACGGCAGACAGGCCGGAGTCGGGGAGGAAAAAGAGACCACGCCCATATTGAAATCCAGACTTGTATGTGGACCAATCCCAAGGAAAAAAATCATTGGCGGGGCGGGGTTATGTAAAACACACGGTGCCGGTACAGGCAGACCATGGAGCAAAGAGCACTATTTAAGGTGTTTTTTTAAAAGAAATATAACTATTATTATAAAGTAAGGGTAATGAAACGTTAAGTTTAAGAAAGCTTGCACTTTTTGATGCAATCTAATCATTAGGATATAAAAGTCGCCACAACCTGAAAAGCTATAGTAAGGGTAAGGGTTGCCGGGAGGCGACTGCAAGGGTATCGCTTCTCGGCCTTTTGGCTAAGATCAAGTGTAGTATCTGTTCTTATCAGTTTAATATCTGATACGTCCTCTATCCGAGGACAATATATTAAATGGATTTTTGGAGCAGGGAGATGGAATAGGAGCTTGCTCCGTCCACTCCACGCATCGACCTGGTATTGCAGTACTTCCAGGAACGGTGCACCCCCTCCGGGGGAACAACATGGTTTTAAAAAAAGACTTTGTATTTAGCTTTTCCTTTTTCTAGCTTGTTATATTATTTTAACTTCCGATGAACTTGAATGAAAAAACACTCTCCTATTGTGACTAGCGTTTTTATAGTGTACTTGAGTATGTAACGGGAAGAAAGGTATTTTTTTCTGTAATGTTTGCGAGTATGTTTCTCCCCTATGTTTTTCATTTATTTATTTTTTTTTTATAGATGTGTTTTTCGCACTTTGCGTGTTTTTACTTACCTAAGAGAACGGCAGCTTTTATTTTTTAGGAATGTTTAAGATTCGTAGGTTACTTTGTTGGGGGTTGTAGGAGTGCTTTGTTTGGTTTTGCTAAGCTCTCTCCGTTTTATCCGGGGAACTTCCCTGGGTCGGACCTGTCTAGCGTAAGCCCCAGGTGTGTCCCCGACCTTAACGTTGACGGGAGACCGCCCAACAGAGGGATGTCTCATAAAAGATTAGTTTAAAGGAAGGACTTTGGGGCAAGGTGAAGTTTAGGTTTGATTTAACGTTGTGATAGGCTCAATACAACGTAGGACAGTGCGTGTGGGCAGAGGTCAATCTCAAGTGTACGCTGGAAGTAGGCAGGGAGGGTGCTTGTCTCGTTGGTTAATACAACGTTTGTATAAATGTGGAATGTTGTGCTCAGGACTCTCATTCACAGCTCTGCAGGTGAGCCGGAAACCGAGGCGGTGCTTCTCCATAGAGGCCTTGTGCAGGCAAGAGTGGAGTTGGGATGCCTTTTTCTTACGGATAGAATTCCAGAGGACCAAACTTCTAGGTACTCTAATTTCAGAGAACAAAATCTCTGTAAGAAAACAGTAGTCCTTCACAGGAGGGGCTGCTACAACATTTTTAAGCAGCAGCTTGTCCCTGGGAGAAATACTGTTAATTCTGCAGAGTTTTTCTCAGTTGGAACTTTTACCATTACCAAACCTCAGTGTGAGGAAATAAAAACGACGCCCCTACCTCCACTTTCCAGGTTTCTGTTTTAAGATCGTCGGTTTCATTTTCCCCGTGTTTCATTTTGTTTTACGCTCGAGGTTGAAGCCTCATTAGTGATTTTTTTTTTTCTTAAGTGTGGTCTTCTTTCTTGTCTTGTACAGAAAACATACTACATGATTCTTTAGATCTCCACAAGCATCTCCAGAGTTCGTCTTTGTAAAGCAAAACCAGCGGGAGCAGGCAGGGGATCAGGGGGTCTTTAGTCTTCTTTTTTTTAAAGTTTGTATTTATTTAAGTGATCGCTACACCCATCGTGGGGCTAGAACTCACGATCCAGAGATCAAAAGTCACAAACTCCTTCCACCCAGCCAGCCAGCGGCCCTTCTTCCGGCCTCTTAGACTCGAAGAGCCTTCTTCCGGATCAAACGCGGCGCGCGCTGGTGACGTAACGCTGCGCCGGAAGTGCGAGCCGCGGGCTGGCGGGCTCAGTTATGGCGGCTGCTGGGGCACGCTGGAACCATGTGTGGGTGGGCACGGACACTGGGATCCTGAAAGGTGGGTGGCCGGGCCCAGCGTCGGGAAGTGGGGGGGGGAGGTGACCCTCGCTCGCGACCCCGGCGCGACTGACGCCCCCCCTCCCGCAGGGGTGAACCTTCAGCGCAAAGAGGCAGCGAACTTCACGGCGGCAGGACAGCCGCGGCGCGAGGAGGCGGTGAGCGCCCTGTGCTGGGGCGCGGGCGGCGAGACTCAGGTGAGCGGCCGCTTTGGTCGATCCCGATCTGAGGGTCTAGGGTACGGCAGCCTCGCTCTGGTCCTCATCCTGCCCTCTTCTGCCCGCAGATCCTGGTGGGGTGCGCCGACAAGACAGTGAGGTACTTCAGCACCGAGGAGGGCAGATTCCAGGGCCACAGGCACTGCCCCGGCGGCGAGGGTGCGTTCCGAGGCCTCGCCCAGGTCGACGGGTAAGACCGAGCCCCTCGCTGAACGCCTAGGTCGTAGGGAGAGCGTGGAGGCTCTCGCAGGACTGCCGAATAACCGCGATCAATCCTTAGGGACACAGGCCTGGGCCGAGTGACAGGCCAGGTGCTATTGAACACCTGCTTATAAATAGGCATTGGGCGAAATGCAAGGGCGGCAGGTAAGCCAGATACACGCAGTACCTACCTTCATGGAGTTTACATCTCCAGGGGTATTTCTCCTGGCCCCGTAGCCTTTTGAATGACCCTGAGCAAGTCATTGGATAGTTGAGTGTGTTTGGAAATGGAGACTAACCACCGGCAACAATATGGTGGAAGTTCCCAAAGGAAAGGGTGGCAAAGTGCGGGTAGCTTTCTTCCAAAGAGGGAGAAGGCTGTGAACAGGCTGTGTAGGTTTGGTGGCATTCTGACAACTGACTAGTAGAAGTGTCTGCATAGGTGAGACATTTGAATTGGGCCGTGAAGGGTGGGTAGAAGTTTTGAAAGGAAGAGAAAGGAGTAAGCGCATTCTAGAAAGAGACTACTGCCTGGGCCGAGGCCAGGGATGGGCGTCAGGCTATATGGTCATTTCAGGCAAAGGTAAACAGCATTTGGGGGGTTGAGACTGAGGGCACATTTTAATACAAGATAGGCAAGGTGGGTAGTGATTAACTGTGAAGGCCTTTCAGGGCCAGACAGAGATTTGCCCTTGTGATTTGCAGGTGGCTTTGAGCGAGGAGGGGTGTGGAGAATGGATTGGAAAGAGCGGTTGGGAAGCTGTTCCCAAAGCCCAGGCAAGCGCCGCAACAGCTTGAACCCAGGCGGGGAGGGTGGGCAGATGTGAGAAAGAACATGGGCTCAGGCTCCACAGACCCGGGGAGAGGCTTGCTTGGGCTCTTCCTTAGGGAGAGACTGACATTAAGTATCTGGGACGCCCAACAGGGAACTTGAGAGACGGCGCTAGTGTTTGTTTGACTTTGGCCAGACCCACACTTTAGACCAGTCTCACTTCCGCTCTTTCAGAGCTACTGATCCTGCCCCCTGGTGATCCACCCAAGGTTCAGAAAAACTGACAGGGGCAGCACCCCCCTCCCCCCAGAGCTGCGGACTAGCAAAGGCACTCTGCTTTGGAGTGTCACACACTTGACTTTCCAGCTCAGGTTCTGACATGTATAGCTGTGTGGGCAAATCTTTTCATTCCCCAGAGCTTCGGTTTCCTCACTTACAAAACTTATTACCCCCCCCCCCCCCCCCGTTGAGGATATTAAATAACAAGCATGCATGGAAGGAGGGAGTTTATTTAAGGTGAACCTGGGGGTGGGTGGACCACGGCCTAGAGAATGCTTTCGCACTTAAGTTTTTTTGTTGTTGCTGTTTACTGGATCCTCCCTCTGCCCACAGCACCCTCATCACATGCGTGGATTCTGGGATTGTCCGGGTCTGGCGTGACAATGACAAGGAGACATCCTCTGACCCAGTAAGGCTCCCCTGCTTTGCCAGTGATGGTCGGGGAAGATGGGGGCCCGCGTAGGAACCGAAGGGAGGGCTTTGGGGGAAGAGGACTGAGGACTCCGGAACTGACTCTCGTCTCCTGTTCCCTTCAGCTCCTGGAACTGAGTGTGGGTCCTGGGGTGTGCAGGATGCGCCAGGACCCAGCACGCCCGCACGTGGTTGCCACGGGGGGAAAAGAGAATGCTTTGAAGGTGTGGGACCTACAGGGGTCTGAGGAGCCTTTGTTCAGGGCCAAGAATGTGAGTGATGGGGTGGGAGGGGCTGGGGCTGAGGTTCAGGGAGGCTGAGGCCGCTGACTTAGGGGATGATGGCGAAGCTGAAGGAAAGGGCCTCTGAGCCTCCCGCACCCTGTCCCCCATCTACCCGGTCCCACCAGGTACGGAACGACTGGCTCGACCTGCGGGTTCCCATCTGGGACCAAGACATACAGTTCCTCCCTGGGTCTCAGAAGCTTGTCACCTGCACAGGGTACCGTCAGGTGAGGCACCACCCCACCCCTACCTTCTCCAGGGCTTAAGCAGCCTCCTGCAGAAACAACCTGCCTATTCGCACAGGCCAACCACCTCACAGTCCCGTGTCCCTGAGCTCCCAGAGGAAGCGTTTCCCCCAGCCAACCCAGCACCGTGGCTGAGCCAGAGACCTTCTGGTGCATTCCGGGATGAGTTTTCTGAACTGTGACCCTTCCTTCGCTTCCAATGTGGAAGGGAGGGGAGAAGGGAGTGTCCCTTTCATGGTAGAATCCCAGGGTCCAGATGTCCTGAGGACACTGGGCTGGGTTTCAGGAGACCTGGCTTCTGGTCTTGATGCGTGCGGCCTCTCTGATTTGCTTGGGGACCCGGGCCTGACCCGTTCCTCTGCATCCGCAGCTCCTCAGCTTTATAGGAGGCAGGCAGGGAGGGACGGCCTGACTGGGGGCCCTTATGGTCGGCCTCATTTGAAGTCCTCAGGCCTAGGCAGGGCTGGGTCGCCATGTTTGTCCCTTTTCCTTTGCTCCTGCACACTGACATCCAATCCTGGGGATATGTCGCTGTTCAAAACACACTACAAGGGCTTCCTCTCTCCTCTGTTGCTCAGGCTAAATTTCCCTGCCTGAAATTCCGTACTCTCTGAAAATTGGACTGGTTTCCTTTTTCATCCCAAGATGGGAGTATGGAGGGATGGAATGCTCACACATGCGGATCCTGGAAATGCTGCCAGCCCCCAACCTGGGAGACCTCTGTCCCCGAGCAGATCTCCTCTGCCCACACTCTTCCCTGACACTCAGAGTAAGAGGGGGTACATTTCAGATGAGAAGGTTTCTCTGAGAGTGGGTCATAAGTAAGAAAGCCGTGTATGAAGGAAGGGGGTGAAGGTGCGGAGAAGCCAGGGAGGGGCATGTGGCAGGAGGGGACTGTCACAAGGCTTTGGCGTTCTCCAGGTCCGAGTCTACGATCCAGCCTCTCCCCAGCGTCGGCCGGTCCTGGAGGCCACCTACGGAGAGTATCCACTTACAGCCATGACCCTCACGCCCGAGGGCAAGTAAGTGTTGCCAGGACCCAGGGTGGGGCTTGGAGAGGACCTTGGGAGGCTCCTGCTGACCCCCACCTGCCTCCGGTCTCCTCCTCAGTTCGGTGATCGTGGGGAACACTCATGGGCAGCTGGCAGAAATTGACCTTCGGCAAGGTGAGCGGACTAGGGAGCCTCGTGGAAGGGGAGGAGGTGGGAGGAATGGCAAGATTCCCTCTGAGGGGGTACGGTGGAGTGGTTGAGCCCTCCTTCAGTTGCCGACTGCCTGGGTTCAAATCCTGGTTTCACTGGAAGCTGTAGGGTCTTGGACAAATTACTTTAGGTCTCTGTGACACAGCTCCTTCACCTGTAAAACGGAGATATTAATGACAACTCCTGTCCCAACCTTATGCTGAGGTATAAGCATTGAAACATAAAGCGATTGAAGTGGTAAGCAATGGGTGTTGGCCAGCCAGCGAGTGCTGATGCCCCCCCTCCTCTAGGGCGCCTACTGGGCTGTCTGAAGGGGCTGGCGGGCAGTGTCCGAGGATTACAGTGCCACCCTTCGAAGCCCCTTCTAGCCTCTTGTGGCTTGGACAGAGTCTTGAGGGTACACAGGATCCGGAATCCACGGGGCCTAGAGCATAAGGTGAGAGCTGGCCGCCTCGGGTGCCCCAAGCCATGTTCCTGTTTCAATGTGCTGAGTTTCTTACGGCCCCTCGTCCTTTGCAGGTTTATCTCAAGTCTCAACTGAACTGCCTCCTCCTATCGGGCAGGGATAACTGGGAGGTAAGCCCTTGGGTCTCGGAGTGTGGGAGCAAGGGCTGAGGTGTGAGCATGTCTCTGTGGAGAGGAAAAAAGAAACAGCTGGAACCATCTGCCTGTCCGCCGAGTTACTTAAGTGCTCCGAGGGGGGTTAATAGTTAAAATCCTCACAGGGTCACATAGGAGCATGGATGGGAGTAGTATCCGGGAGCAGGAAATCAAAGTGCTTTTTTCCCAACTAGATCCTCCTTCCCCCGAGCCTCTGTCACTGCGCCCCTGCCTCTTACTAAGTTTTCTCCCACTCACCAGGATGAGCCCCAGGAGCCTCAGGAGGCTAAACAGGTGTCCCCAGAAGACACAGAGACAGATGAACTTTGGGCCTCCTTGGAGGCAGCCGCCAAGCGGAAGCTCCCTGATTCGGAGCCGCCCCCAGGGGCTGTGCAAACCAGACGGAGAAAAAAGCAGCGGCCTGGATCCACCAGCACCTGAAGAGCCTGTGTTCCCTTTGTAAATAAACAGCTCGACACCCACCATGACCCTGAGCCTTTTGTGATGGGAGAATGGGAAGAGGGGCGGCTGCTCCCAGCGCCGGTGCAGCGGGGTAGCTGACGTCACAAAAGCCAGGTCCGGAGCCTGGCGGGCTGGCGAGGGTGGCACGGAGTTCGGGGCCGCTCGGGGCCATGGGCTGCTGCCAAGACAAGGACTTTCAGACCTCCGAGGAGCAGGGCAAGGAGGCTGACTCAGACGAAGCCGAAGGTGGGACCCGAGACACACCAACGGGGCCCAGGGAGCGGGAGAAGGGGCTGCCCCGAAGGGGATCGCCCAGGAGGTTGGGCCGGGGAGAGCGGAGGGGAGCTCAGTGGCCTCGTCACCCCGCAGGCGCCGACGAGGTCGATATGGACGCACAAGACCCCAAGTCGAACGAAAGCCTTCTGATCACCGTGCTGTGGCGGCGGCTATCCCTGTTCAGCCGTCGGGGCTCTCGGTCAAACAAGAGGCTCTCGGCCCAGAGTCAAAAGCATGGGTTACCGCAGAGCAAGCGGGATGTGATCCTGGAGGAGCCAGAGAAGGGGTGACCCCAACCTGCTCTCAGTCTGCCCCAGCCTCCAGAGAATACAGTTTCCGAGTGTACCTTTCTAGAGTGCTCGTGTCTCCGCTGCTCAGCATTCTGGGCGCACTCGACACCGCGGGGGCTGCGGGCTCTTTAAGGCCCCTCCCCTGAGGCTGGCGCAGCCCCCTGGATCCCGGCTCCGGTTCCTCAGGGGCGGGGTGACGGGCGGCCTCGCCAATGGGAGGACGGAGTTTTCTCTTGCGTTTTGGTGGGAGGGCGTGTCTCCCTGGTCGCTGCGCTCCAAAAGGTGTGGCACCGCCCCCTGGTCATCGGGGGTGGGGTTACGTGTGGGTGACGTGGCGGCTCCTAGGCTTTGGTCGGGTTTCGGCGGCTTCAGCGCTTGGGGAGGAGGCGGTGACCACCCGGGAGACTGTGGCAGTGGTGGCGGCGGCAGGCGGCAGGGAGGAGGTAGGACTCGCTCTAGAAGGGGTCTGGCCACCGTGTCCGCTCTGGGCAGCGGCTTTCCGGGGGCGGCTACGGGAGGGGGGAAGGGAACCTGGGGCGAGCGGGCAAGTCCTGCCAGCCCGGCTCGGAGTGAGGGAATACTTCATCATCCAATCAGGAAAGCTCCTGTTGAGAAAGACGTCGGCATTAGCTAATCGGTGGTCGCAGTCCTCCAGAAGGCGGGATTTAGGCCGGGGTGGGACTTCCTGTTTCAAATAAACACCTAGGGATTTTTCCCCCTTCCGCCCACCGAAGTGTGTCCCCCCTCAGGAGGCCCGTCACCGTTTCTCCCTGAGGACTCGAAGGGATCCGCGGATATGAGAGGGCTCGGTTAGGGCCTGGGGCCGTTGCACAGCCCAGACTGGAGCCTCGGGACCACGGGACGTGCCTCTGGCCCTGTCTCTGTTTGAAGGCCCCCGGCCCGCGCTCTGGTCTGGCCGCCAGAGCCAAGTTGGAAGGAGTCTGAGGAGGGGGAACCGATTGGGCCGGAGAACGGGGGCCCAGCCCGCCGTGGGCCGGCCCCACGATCTGCGGGTGACTTTGGGCGCGAAAGTCCGGGCCAGGTCCAGAAGGGACCCGAGGATTTGCTGGTTGGGACGGGGAGGAGGATTTATGGGGAAGGAGGCTGCCTGGGGAATGACACTCTCCCCTTCACAGCAGTCCGAGGTTATGCGACTCAATGATCCCGCGGAAACGCTACGGGTCTAAGAACACGGATCAGGGTGTCTACCTGGGTCTCTCAAAGACACAGGTCCTGTCCCCTGCAACTGCTGGCAGTAGCAGCAGCGACATCGCCCCTCTGCCCCCCCCAGTGGCCCTGGTCCCTCCCCCTCCCAACACCATGTCTTGCCGTGATCGGACCCAGGAGTTCCTGTCTGCTTGCAAGTCCCTGCAGAGCCGCCAGGTAAGGACCGGGAGTGGGAAAGGCAGGAGTGAGCTTTACTGAAATCTGGGAGAGGCTGTGCTCCCTCCCTGCTGATTGACATAGTATGGGGGGTGACATGATGGAGAGCTGACTGGGTTTGGAGGGGGCTGGAGGGTCTACTAAGCAACAGAGAATGGGGTGGCCAGCTGTCTAGAGGCAAGGACTTAGACTTCTGTGTGTGTGTGTGAGAGAGAACCCCCCTGGAGGGTAGGGTTGCTATTCTGCAAGAAATAGCTCAGGTGAGAGGTGTCTGCAGTATATTTGGTTTGGATAAGGACCACGTTCTAGAAAGAGCCTTAAGCTGCGAGACGGACACTTTGAATTCTAGTTCCGGAATGGTCCTCTACCGCAAGTTTGCTCTGTGACCACAGAAAGTTGGGCCAGAAAGTCTGGTTGGGCCTCAGTTTTTATATCTGTAAAATGAAAGAAGTTTTCTTGATAAGCAACTTTTATGGAAATTACGTTGCAGTGCTTTCCTAGAAATTGGATTCCCTTGTTTCAGTCCAGACTTTCTGAATCAAAGTGGGCCCTGATTGACTGTAATTTTAAAGGTTTTTACTGCTTTTCTGCGTGATCACCAAGAACTTTCCAGTTATCCTCTTTGATTTCCCGACTGGAGAAATAGAATGTTAATCGCTCCTGTCACTTATTTAGTGCTTATGGCATACCAGGTATCTGACTAAAGTACTTCATAGCCCTTATGCTGTTTAATACCAGCAGCAACTTCATTTTCTACTAGAGGAAATAGATGTTCAGAAGGGTTTATGTCACTTGCCCCAGCCCCCCCAGCTAGTAAGTGGTAGAGTCAAGATTTGACCCTGAGTCTACCTGTGCTCAAATCTGAGCCCTAAATGACAACTGCTAATACAATTACAGTGTCCGGTAGAGGTGCTAGAGAGAATTTAGCGGACACCTGAGGAAGAGTGAAAGCTGGACATGGGGAGGAGGGGGAACTAAAGTGTCACCTCTTGATGTTGCTTTTCAGAATGGAATCCAGACAAACAAGCCGGCTCTGCGCGCTGTCCGGCAGCGCAGCGAATTTACCCTCATGGCCAAGTAAGTTGAGAGAAGTTACGTGGTGGGACGATGCGGTGTCTGGGGAGATGTTGGCTTGCATTCGGTGGCCTTGGCTGTGAGGGAGGGCTGTGCTGGTTGTGCTGGAGCTGGTGGGGGAATAGGTCCTGCCCTTTCCCATCGCGCCCTCACTAATGCCCGTTTACAGGCACATTGGGAAAGACCTCAGCAACACGTTTGCCAAGCTGGAGAAGCTGACCATCTGTGAGTGTTCTTGGGGGGTCCTTTCAGAGTTGGGGCAGTGAACCAAAGAGCTCTGAGAAACCGCAGCCCCTGAGCCTTGTCTTTGACCTCACCCGTCCTGACCTCGTTTGTCTCTGCAGTGGCAAAGCGCAAGTCCCTCTTCGATGACAAAGCAGTGGAAATCGAAGAGCTCACTTACATCATCAAACAGGTGAGCTCCTAGTGATCTGATGCCAGTGAATCACTTTCATTGTTTCCCCTTGTCTTGGAGGTCCAGAGGAAGTTTCTGGAGGCGGCCCCAAAGACCTTGCTCATCCGTTGAGCCAGTGGACACTCTTTGGTCATCTGCTGTGTACGAAGCCCTGCTGGGCACTTGCTTCACCAACCTGAGGCAAGAATTCCCACCCTGGGGGCTTCTTGCCTGTCGGGGGCATCCAGTCCCATAAACGCGTACTTCGAATGAATAGATGGCAAGTGATACAGAAAAGACCTTCAAAAGGATGAGTTGAGACAGTCTGAGGCCACTGGGAGAAACGTTATAGACGGGGGTGAAATCTAAACTGGTTTCAAGGCTTGTGTAGAGGCAGTGGGAGAACATTCCAGACAGAGGATACAGTGTGTGCAGAGGCATGGCTTGTACAAGAAAGTTCAAGTCTTTTTTTTGCTCAGCTGATATTCGCTCAGGGAGGCCTGCCCTGACCATGCTGCTTATGTGCTCCTGTGCCCCAAACTGTGCTTTTTGTGATACTTGATACTTTCTAACATTCTGTATTGTTTACTTAAGGTTTATTGTTTCTGTTCCTCTCATCTACCTCATCCCACCTGCCCACCCACCAAAGAAGAGAAAAGAAAGTGCCACAAGAGCAATGATTTTTTTTCTTCCTATTTTTTCATCTTGCTCATAGATGTATCCCACATGCTTTTTTTTTTCACTTTCATTTTCCTGTTATTTTTCCTCTCACCTCTTTTTTTTTTTTTTTAACAAATAGTTTATTGTCAAATTGGTTTCCACATAACACTCAGTGCTCATCCCCAAAAGTGCCCTCCTCCATGCCCATCCCTCCCTCCCCCACCACATCCATCAGTCCTCACTTTTTGTCAGCATTCAAGAGTCTCTCATGGTTTGCCTCTCTCCTTCTCCCCCACCATTTCCCCCCTTCTTCTCCCCCTTGTTCCTCAGTTAAGTTCCTCCTAATCCTCCTATACGTGCAAACATATGATATTTGTCCTTCTCTGCCTGACTTATTTCGCTCAGCATAACACCCTCAAGGTCCATCCATGTTGCTACACATGGCCAGATTTCATTGTTTCTCATTGCCATGTAGTATTCCATGGTATAGATAAACCACATCTTCTTGATCCATTCGTCCGTTGATGGACACTTAGGCTCTTTCCATGTTTTAGCTATTGTTGAGAGTGCTGCTATGAACCCCATGTGCTTTTTTTTGTTAAACTTTTTTTTAATGTTTTATTTCTGAGAGAGAGAGAGAGAGACAGCGTGAACAGGGGAGGGTCAGAGAAAGAGGGAGACACAATCCGAAACAGGCTCTGGGCTCTGAGCTAGCTGTCAGCACAGAGCCCGACACGGGGCTCGAACCCATGAACCGTGAGGTCATGACCTGAGCTGAAGTCGGACGCTCAACTGACTGAGCCACCCAGGCACCCCCCACATGCTTATAATAGCATCTGGCTTAGAGGAGGTCTTCCATATTTGTTGATTGAGCAATTGGCAGGAGATGAGGCCGGGAAGGTAGTTCAGTGGCTGGTTGTAAAGATCACTGTGGGCCTTGCAAAGGAGTATGGAATCACTACATGCCATAGGCTGCAAAGACAATAAGAATCTGGGTCCTAAATCTGCTTGACGGACCCCAGTACAGTACAGTCGTAATTCCTTCCTTTCCCAGCGCAATGTCACGAGAATAAAATGTGAAATCAAATGACCGCGGGGGAAAAAGCCAGCCTGGAGCATGGATGGGCAGAGAGGCCGGGGAGGAGGCTGTGCCGCTGTCCAGTGCAAAGGTGACTGCGGCAGAGGCCAGGGCAGAAGTGTTCAAGAGGGGCCGTGCAGGGTAGAAGAGGGAGGGTGCCGTGAACTACGCTATTGCGTGGGCTTTGAGGAACCACAGCCTGGATTCAGACAGTCCATCACTTATGGGGTAACCTTGGGTGAGCCAGCTAACTACTCAGAGCTTTGGTGCCCTCGGAAATAAAAGTGGGATCATCACAGCACCTACCTCGTAGGGTGGATGTGAGGATTCAGTTGTTTGTTTCTGGAGTCACCCACATTATTTGAGTGAGTTTTAGCTGCCTGATTTGGGGGATTCCCCAGGGAACAAGACAGATGTACCTTCCCTTGAAGATTTCCTATCTGAAACTAGGCAAGTAGAATTTGTC